GTTACAGCAAGTCCATGTGTATTGCTCCGGGTCTTTCCACAGAAGGAGAACCTTGGGATTTTCTTAGCATGACTTCCTAGCTGCCTAAATCTGGGAGGCCACTTTTATATGCTCAAACTTCAGTTAATCCTGGTTAATTATATTATTCACGAACTTTGGGAGCTTAAATCCCAATCTTCCACCTAAATGCATAATTAGGAGCCTTAATTTGAAGCATTACTTTGCAGGAGCTAAGCCACTGAAATGAAATAACTGATTATGGCTTGAGGGAGTCGGAAAGCATTTTGTGAAAAATGGCAGGGAACCTTCACACAATCCAGTCTCAATTTCTGGTGCATTTTTGGGGGGTCTCTCTATAATCTCCATTTGTCTGTGACATGAGATGGCTCCTTCGGTGCAACTGTAAATAAAGCAGGCGTACCACACAGATGCAGCTGGCCTTGTTTTATTTGCACTTCTTGATGTGTTTTATCCAGTGTGAAAGCTTCTTGAAAACCCCAACTCTTTTCTTCTGGTTGAGTATCAGCTTAATTATAGGGCTCTGCAGATGAATCACAGCAAGTGACTAATGAAACAGGAAGGAAGCAGTTTGCAGGTCATCAATTTGATGCCATTTACCTTGAGTGTGTCCTTTCCTCTCCTGCCCTCACTGTCCTGGAAGAAAGATAAGGCCGCTAGCTCAGTCCATTCCTAAGAATTGAATTGTCAATGCATTTTAATTTACGGGACACAAGTCAGCTGTCTTGACATCAGCAGCACATTCCCTCTTGATTATCAGCTCACAAATGAGAATAAGCAGGTCACATATAAGGCGGCAGCTTTCACTTTGGGCAAAACACGTCTGAACTTTTGAAAATTATTGTTGTATTCAACTTAGTTATACTCAGGCCACATTCACACAAAAATGCCACTTTAAGCTGTTATGGCTTCCCCCAAAGAATTCTGGGAGCTGTAGATTGTTAAGCATGCAGAGGGTTGCTTGTTGTTGTTGTTTAGTCGTTTAGTCGTGTCCGACTCTTCGTGACCCCATGGACCAGAGCATGCCAGGCACTTCTGTCTTCCACTGCCTCCCGCAGTTTGGTCAAACTCATGCTGGTAGCTTCGAGAACACTATCCAACCATCTCGTCCTCTGTCGTCCCCTTCTCCGTGTGCCCTCCATCTTTCCCAACATCAGGGTCTTTTCCAGGGAGTCTTCTCTTCTCATGAGGTGGCCAAAGTATTGGAGCCTCAGCTTCAGGATCTGTCCTTCCAGTGAGCACTCAGGGCTGATTTCCTTAAGAATGGAGAGGTTTGATCTTCTTGCAGTCCATGGGACTCTCAAGAGCCTCCTCCAGCACCAGAGGGTTGCTAGGAGGTCCCCATTTCTCTCATAGAGCTACGATTCCTACAGTTCCATGTGAAGAGAGATTGGTTGTTTAACAACTTTGAGGATATAGCTCTTGGAGGGAATGAGTGGGAACCTTCGCACCATTCACAAACTACAATTCCCACAAGTCTTTGAGGGGAGCTATGACTGTTTAAAAAGGCATCATAGTGCTTTAAACTTATGGTATGAATGAGGCCTTAAGAGTAGAGCTACTTAAATTAATGGATTTAACTTACTCATGTTCATTAATTTCAATTACTCTACTCTTAGGAAAAACCTATTTGAATACCATTCTATGGGTTTGTTTAGTCATTCATTACATTGGTGTTCTTTTTTATAATTTACAAAACCCAACTGTCCAAAATGGTATATAATAAAAACACTAAAGCAACAATAAACACACAGTAAACAATGATTCATACATTCTGCTTTTCAAAAAGCCAATATGGAAATTAGCTGTGCAAGAATACAGTCTTTTTGTTGAAACCAATCTTGTTGACTGCTATTTCGATCAATCTGTTGATGTTTAAATTGGATTTTCACATCATTTGTTCCTCTTTGTCAGGAGCTGCCACAAGCACTCTTGTCCTAATATTATGTTTATTTGCAACTTTGTTATGACATATGGCTATACCAAGCAAAATTTGATGGACTGACACCCCCCTTTTGCTTGTCTTCTTGCTTTGCATTCTCATCAGGTTGGTGGGGGGGTGCATTTTGGCAACCGTTTTCTTTCTTGCTCACAGAATGACAAAAGACTAAAACCCACAAGAAGTTCAACCCAACCTGCTCAAATGTGGACCCATAAGACTGGGCTAATGTGTGACCACTTATTCAGAACAGACAAAAGGAAGTGGTTCATAGTGTATAAACTATGGAACTCACTAACACAAATTGTGATGATGGCCACCACCTTGGATGACTTTAAAAAGGGATTTAGACATATTAATGTCTAAAGTCATCTTGAGATCATCTGAGATCATCTTCTGAGGCCCTTCTTCATGTGCCTCCTCCGTGAGAGGTCCAGAGGGAGGCAACACAAGAATGGACCTTTTTTGCAGTGGATCCCCATTTGTGGAATGCTCAGCTGGTGCCTTCATTATACACCTTTAGGCGCCAGGCAAAAATGTTCCTCTTTAAACAGGCCTTTGACTGATTGACAGAGGATACCCTTTTAAAATATGTTGTGGGATTATTGGGTTGTCTTTGTTTTTGTTTTTATTGTGTATTTTCTTGTTTGTGATTCAAGGACCCACCACCAGCTTGGGGATAAGAAAGACACATGGACACAGTATACTAGGTTAATGGGCTAAAAAAGGCCACAACTTTATTGATTATATCATGTGAGAGGTATTGGCTTAGGCAATGGATAAAACAACAGTGTGACTCCACCCCCTCAGGGATGGATGATGCAAATACAACTGAAAGCTCCCCCTGATGTCACCGGGGGTCATGCCATGGCCCTAGCCACCAGCAAGGGCTTTGGACAGGATCCACAACCACCGGATTCCTTTACCGGAATACCCATAAAGCCTCGCCAAACCCTCCTCTTCAGAAGGTTGGACCAAAACAACGTTGTCCCGGGGAATAGAGCAGCCAACTCATCAAAGTCCTTTTTTATGTTCCAAAGCAAGTCCATGCTCTTTCTGAAAGTCAAATCATTCTCCCCCAGCTGGATGATTAGAATGTCAGGAAAACCAAACGAAGCAGCTTTTGCCTTCAGCAATGGCATAAGCTCTTCCCAGCGCATGTCGTGCCTTGAAAACCAGGAAGCTCGAACCCTTGATGGAAGACCCAAATTGAAGCCAAAGCCACATTCTTTAGCCCACAGATGGGCCCAGTGGACGATACTGTGGCCGCAGATCCGGACTTGCACAATGGGGGAGGCTGAAGACAAAGAAATGAAAAAGTAGGTAAGTGATAGTATTCTAAGCATGCACTATGTTCCATTTGTTTTTGTTTCTTTTGAATTGGTTTATACATCATGTGGAAGCCCAAATATACTGCAGAAATTAACAGTTACTAAAATGTCAGGGAAATGGAATAAACTGTCATGTGAATGCAGCCTCAGTATAATGCAGTTTCTGTATTCCACAGTGTTTTGGATCACAGCTTTAATCCAGGGACTCACAGGTGTCTAAACTACATTTTGTAAAATGTCTAAGCTTATATAACTTTATCTTCTTCCATAAGAGGCCAATGTTATTTCCCTCTTGTTGTCCATCTTCTCAGAGTCCATCTGGTGTGAATGACTCCACTTAGTTAATTCTCAGGATGGCAGTTGATTCAGAAAACAAACTGCCTCTTTTTGTTCATGTCTAGAAGGATGCAAAGTAAAATAAAATCCTTTCATGGGTTGTCGTACTGATGCTTAGTGAGTGACACACAATAAAGAACTTTCTTTTCAAGATTAAACCTTCCCAGTTGCAGTGATAACAATACTGTGGAAACCTAGGCTTAAGGTGGCTGGCAGGAATGAAAGGTTTATCTCAAAGCTGCTTATTTATTTTATATTATTAGAGATCGCAGCTCTTAAGCACTGAAGCTTGGTGCTTATCCCCAAGAACCACACTCTGAAATGAAAACAGCCAAGTGCTGTCCAGACTCTATAAACATGGGTGAGGTCATTAGGAGGGGTGTATTAGCTTTTTTATGTTGGTAACATCAGTTTACATCAGCCAAGCGTCTGTTTACCCTGCACAAATTAGCAACAACAAAAACCGATTGTCATCCTTGGGATTTATCTGTTGACTGTCAAGCATTAGAAAAGGCACACATTTTCTCTTAGGGCTGGTTCACACAGTGAACTTCTCCTACAGCCAGCTGGCTGTGTGCTTGCAGATGCATGGAAGGAACAGCAGTGTGCAATCTGAGCTGTACAAATTTACAGCTAGCATCACTTCTGCAGCTGTGAAAAATGTATTGTTGGTTTTCACCCATGGCAATCACAATGACCTGTATGCTGGTTCACATTAGAGAAGTTGTGTGCATTCAGATTAGGTAAAGGTAAAGGTACCCCTGACCGTTAGGTCTAGCCGCGGACGACTCTGGGGTTGCGCGCTCATCTCACTCTATAGGTCGATGGAGCCGGCATTTGTCCACAGACAGCTTCCGGGTCATGTGGCCAGCATGGCTAAGCCACTTCTGGCGAACCAGAGCAGTGCAGGGAAATGCCGTTTACCTTCCCACTGGAGTGGTACCTATTTATCTACTTGCACTTTGACGTGCTTTCGAACTGCTAGGTCGGCAGGAGCTGGGACCAAACAATGGGAGTTCACCCCGTCACAGGGATCCGAACCACCGACCTTCTGATAGGCAAGCCCTAGGCTCTGTGGTTTAGACCACAGTGCCATCTGCTTTCCTGCATTCAGATTAGGGGTGCTCAAAAATGGGGTACCCAGAAAACGTAAGTCAGCTCCATCTTAGTCCAGCATCCTGGTCTCACAGTGGCCAACCAAATGCCTATGCAAAGCCCAGAATCAGGCAATGAACACAACAGCACTGTCCCCACTTGTGTTCCCATATATGTTTGCTTTATGACTGTAGCATCAGGTAATGTGTTACAAAGAATTCTAGAGTTGGAAGAGACTCTGAGGATCATCTTGTCCAACCCCCTGCAATGCAGGAAGATGCAGTTGTCCCATATGGGGATCAAACATGCAAGCCTGGCATTCTCAGCACCATACTCTAACCAACTGAGCTATCACAGCAGCCATGTTTGAATAGCTCCTCACATATATAACCCCAGATCTGGAAATGTCCATATTGCTACATATTTCTGTAAACCACCGTCAAGGATTGAACTCTGCCATATGGAAGATGAAACAAGCTTGTTTTCTCCTGCTCTGGAAGATTGGACCTGACTTCAAGATGACTTCAAGATTCCAATTAAACATCAGGGAGAACTTTCTGGTGGTAAGAGCTGTTTGACAGTGGAGCAGACTTCCTTGGAAGGCGGTGGAGTCTCCTTCATGGGAGGCTTTTAAGCAGAGGTTGGGTGGCCATCTGTCATGGATGCTTTAGTTCAGATTCCTGCATTGCTGCGGGGTTGACTAGATGATCCCTTCCAACTCTACATTTCTATGAATCTGTATCTAGGTTTCACTGGATTTATGTCAAGGCATGTGCTGTCATATTGTAAACGTTCTGATCTTGGGGCTAAAGAATTACTATATTTCTTTCAACAACAAAAAAGAGTAGTCGGAAGACCGATCTCTAATTTACCCCATGGTATTGAAGATTTCTCTGAGGATGCTGGGTTTGAAGGGAGGCTATAGAGATATTTGGCAGAGTACTGGTACTCCCAATTCATCAACTTCTGGTTCTGTAAATAGCCCTAAGTGAGAGAATCAAACTATTATGTTTTGTAGATGAATGATCAGCAAATGCTCAGAAACTCATCTGTCATGGTCTAGTTTTGCTGCATGACATAAATAATGAAGCCAGCATTTTCAGAATTCATAAAAAGGAGCCTAGGCTTGTGGTTTACATATAAATCCACTTTTAATTAGAGTGGAACTAGCACAGAAATAGAATGATTCTCAGCTTGGCAGTAGGTTAAAGGGCTTATCATGTGTCCTTCACAGATGTAAAAGGTCAGTGCAAAGCATAGAAAGCTTTTCAGACTATTAAGTTTGAGTGTTGATCATATTCCAAGTATAATGCAATGAGGTTGGGGAAGTGGAGAGCAGCTTTGCGGTGAAAAGGAATGGGTTCAGTGGGCAGGGAGGAGGGAGGAGGGAGGCCTGTTATTTCTCAAGAGAGTTGCAGCACCCTGACAAGTAACATAGAGGTGAACCCTAGGCATGTTTACTCAGATGCTAGTCTCATTTAACTCCCAAGTAACTGCAGCCTTAGACACATCCTCCTGTACACATTTTCTTGAGAGTAAGCCCCATTCATCTCAGTTATTACCATGAATGAGGGAAGAAATTGCATTCAGTTCACATTTAAAGGCAAATCTACCTACCTAATTCACATTTCCGAAACACTGTTCAAAGAGAAACGCAGACTTCGAAATTTGCACTTCTCCAAATTTTGCAATGTGTTTCTCCACCCAAGCAATGAGGATGGGAGGGTTTAGCCCCACTTTCTGTGAGGTATATACTCATTAAACACATGTGCTTAAAAGCAGTGCATTCTGTGCTCAACTTTCAGTGCATTTTATTTCACCCCTATTAGAACAATGTTAAGAGTTTCGTCCCTACAAAGAAAATTCTGGCCTTTGTACTTGAGCTTTGTGACACAAGCAGATCTGAAAATGTTTTTTGGCCATTATCCTCAACTTGTGTCTAAGCTTCCTGGCCTTTGAACCTTGGAGTTAGCGGCATGCCATTAAAGCCAGAGAATCTTGCAGGTCATAATGTTGCAACAGGGAAACCAGTGATAGGGAGCGGCTCAGAGAGCGCATGCTGTTTAGCACACTTTGAGGGCTCTCATTTGTGTTTCAGAATGAGGCACCCCAGCTGAGCAGCAATCTCTACAGACTGAGGGCAGGCCAGCTCCCCAAACCAACATGCCATTTACCATTAAGATGTAGGAATGAATTGTTCAGAAATAAAAAGGCTCTCTTTCAAACATCACCTTTCCTGCTTTCCAGTAGGTCGGAACAAAGGATAGCATCATTGTCCAAAGTCCTATTAGCCTCACATCCCTTCAAATTCCATTTTTTTCCTTCCCATGGCCAGTTTCATCTAACATTCGTGTAAAATACACACCACAGGAAAGGTCAAATCAATCAAATTATGCTGCTCCAATGGAGATGCCATCCTTGCCGCTTTGTAGCTTTCGCCCAGGAATTCTTCTCAGACAATTACCAAACAAAAGAGCCAAATGTCTATTTCAAACAGCAAATTTAACAATGGTGCCAAGCTGGGAATGTTGTGTGTTGCCATACAAGAAGATTTTAAACTAAGTTTCTGTCAAAAGTTCTTTCCAGAACGTTTTTTTGGCTCAGAACAGAGGCTCCAATTTAAGCAAATGGAAACTGGCTTTAGGTTAAACACGAGTGAAAGTTTTCTAACTCTGATGAGAGGTCCAGGGGCAGAAAAAGGGGGAAACTGGACTTATCACAAAACAAGTGGCTGCCACAGCGAATGTCAGCCATTCCCCTCCATAATGTCAGAAGAAGAAGAAGAAGAGTTTGGATTTGATATCCCCCCTTTCACTCCCTTTTAAGGAGTCTCAAAGCGGCTAGCATTCTCCTTTCCCTTCCTCCCCCACAACAAACACTCTGTGAGGTGAGTGGGGCTGAGAGACTTCAAATAAGTGTGACTGACCCAGGGTCACCCAGCAGCTGCATGTGGAGGAGCAGAGACGCGAACCCGGTTCCCCCAGATTACGAGACTACCGCTCTTAACCACTACACCACACTGGCTCTCAATGTCAGTAGAACTTACTCGTGTCCTGATGTCATGGTGACTTAGGGATGCTATGGGTTAAATTGCAAATAATTTCTAAGTCTGCATCTGACCTTTGCTTCATTCTTCCTTTATAAGCTGCAGGTTGCAACCCTTGGCTGATGTTTATTTCACCCGTCCTATGTCCTGTAACAGAGCTTACCAACCTTTCGGGCCTGTGGGAACATTTCCTAGTTTAAGTGTCATGGACACCACAGACATCCCTCAGCCAAGTGCACACTACTGGCTACAATGGAAAGCTTCTTTCAAACTGAACTTCAGCAGCAGTAAGTAGAAGGAGAGGGCACCCCGTGGGTGCAAGGGAATGCCACTGTGAGCACATGTCAGAAGTGGGTGTCGGGAATAAATCACATGGCACCAGTGAAGCTAATTCTTCATTCAAGGAAACAAGGCTGACTCAGGAGATCAGGTCTATTGAGCACAGCAACTTGTCCTGGTAGATCTTGCCCCCATGAGGCAGTTGAGGGCACTGAAAGTCCCTGCCTTCCCACAGTTCCCTAAGTTCCCTCCTCCCTCAGGTCCTTCCCAAGCAATCTGATACTTTTTCACTGTGCCTGACTTTGCTGCTCCTTCTTCAGACCTCTTCTGCTACTGAGACACCAGGGGGGGAGTAAGGTGGTCCCAAGAGGAGGAGGAGATGCCCTAGTCCAGAATATGGACTTTCCCTCCTCCGTCTCCACACACCTCTAAATCTAAATCTACTCTGGGGAGTTGAAGAACCCACAGAACAGGTTTGGGGGGCTCAGGGGAGGAGAGGAGGGAAAGCCTCATTGCACAAGTGGACTTCATTCCCTGCTTGCATACCCCAACTTAGCGCTACACTGAATTCCAACCAATATTTTCCATATTTGTTATCTGTTCCTTTCTTCAACTGAAATCCTCTTTTGGATCAATCTTAGCTTTTTGATTAAGTTGTCCTGGATCAGGACTTCCGGGTTGGCGCCTCCGGTAATGGCGGAATTCCTCTGATCGGGAGGAATTTGCCTCGTGGAAATTCGGGTCCAGCCGCCACAGCGAAGGCGGAGACCCACTAAAAATCACAGGCGGGTGAAGCCTGTGAACGTGGGATTCGGCTGGCACCTTTTGCGCCTCCCCTACTCGCAGGGAAACCCGGTTTCGGGGATCTGGAAGAACGTGGGGTGAGCGGCACGGTGCTTTGAATTGATTCCACGGAGCGAAGCCGCATAGCTGTTGCCGGAGAGCGCTGACTTTTTCCTGTGGACAATTTCATCTTATAGCAACTACCCGTGAGTAGAGCGGAGAATTGGATTTTTAAACGTCTTAATTTGGTGCTGAAACGGGGAGGTCCAAAACAGGAAGTCCACCTTCCCCCTTTGTAAATAGATTGAAGCAATGAATGCAAGCTGAAGTCGCGGAAAGTCTATCGTAAAGGACTAAATTTCCATCGGTAAAAAATACTAAACCCCCCTTGGTGGCAGGAGAAGAGGGGGGAAAGCTTTGGACCGAATATACATGCAGGAGAGAGCGAACAGAGTTAAAACATCACCGCTCCGATCCTGGAAACGGGCTGCCAGTAGGACTGACGTGCCTTAGACTGCGATTAGAACGTTCACTGACAGCTAGTTAAATAAGAGAAATACTTTGTTTCCATTGTCTCCTTCTGCGTTTAAAAAGAAGTAAAAGTAATTGAAAATTGAAACTAACTTTATTGTTTGGACTGTGTTTAAAAGGACCAATACAAATAAAAACTGTTTCCCTCTAGAGGAAGCCTTTGAAACTGTTACAAGAGTTGAGCTGGGGGAATTTCCAGCTGCAAGATAAAAAGCTGTAAGATTCTGGGACTGACCTTGAATCGGTTAAGAATGTCGACAGAAGAGGCCTTAGTGGCTGTATTAAGTAAGATAAATGACTCACTGGAACAGCTTAACAAAAAGGTGGATGTGGTAACTACCAAAATCGATAATTTGGGACAAAAAGTGAACATCAATACAGAAACTATTCAGAAATTGATACAGGAATCTACTTTGACATGGCAAACTGCGGAGAAGACCAGGGAGAAAGTTGCTGTTGTTGAACCTAAAGTAACACAACTGGAGAGAGAGAGGGTCCCAGCCTTACGGATGCAACTTGATGATCATAAGTTGATGCCTTCTATGATTGAATTTAAAGAAAATCAGATTTCGAGGACCAGAGCTCTACCCGAACTGGAGAAGGAAAGTTTGATAGATCCTCTTACACAGGAACTTGCTGATTTTTGGGACCTGGACTTGGGTCAAGAAGAGATTAATATTGTGAGGGCCTTCAGACTTGGAGAAATTTTGAAAGATGTC